ACTCTGGATCGCTATGGAATTTCCGTGGCATTCCGCTAACCCACAATTTACTCATTTGGAAGAGAGGGAACTGATTTCAGCCAAGTGAGCTGTTTCAGTATTCACTTATTTTGCCCCATGATGAAAAATAAGGAAGGGGACTTCGTCATTTTTAGGTCATATTTATGTCACATTTATTACGTAAATATTATGTAATGGTATGATGTCAGTGTTACATCAAGATGTTTACGTCAGAGTCTGACGTAAGGAAGTGTGAAATAATGACTCTTGTATGACTCAAGTGTAACCTATATCTTACGTAAGCGTGACCTGACATGACATCATATTTACGTCATATTTACGTAATTGTGTTTACTGGGTCCTTCATTGAGTTATTTGCTATCGGTCTCAATAGGGAAAATGTTAAAGTTATGGTGTGCCTATAGGTAATTTCCTATAAATTTTCTATCGGACCGTATCCGAAAAAAACCATGGACAAATGCCGGTAGCGCCCGATAGATTATTTTATATAGGTCTCTATGGGGGTATTTTAAGCAGGGTTGAGAATAACCAATTAGCAGATTCCTTTTTCAAATCTTACACTGGAAATTGGAAATTACCCATTATCCAATCGAAACCAATAAAAAACTTTAGAATCCTAATTGGACTTTTCCATCATGGAAAATAACAGTAAAAACCAATTTCTGTTTTATATAGCGCCCAATTAAATCCAGTAAGTCCAATTCAGACCCATTGATACCAACCAATACATTTCTACAGCCTGTAGACTACAGGAATTAATCAGTCATTTACAATAGGGAAGTGCACTCCATATATGTGGAAAAATTGCTCCAGGAGCGCGTTCAAAAATTCGCAAGAGTGCACTCTGCATACACTCCAATTTTACCTTGCGCGTTCGATTTCTCTGGTATATATCTAGATATATACAATTGTATATATCTAGATATATACAGTTAACTGTCAACTGTTCGAAAACAGCAAGTAGGTATATGCTCGGTTGTCCAAGCTTGGTTAAGTTTTACCCGTCATGCGCATACACAGTAAAAAAAGATTACAGAAAATTACGTTGGCCACATAGTAACCAACGTAATATTCTGTAAAATATTTTACGTAAAAGATTATGAAATATCATCACAGAATATTTTCTGCAAAGTACATTCTCCTGAAAAAAATGGTAGATCACATTGTGTTAAAATTCAGTTTAATTGATGTAATATATATTATATTTTATATTGATGTACCCTATATACTTTCATATTATTTTCGGTGAAGATGTTTTGAATCTATATGAATATATTTGAATTCAATGAAAAGTTTTGTAACATTTAGCTAATACACAATAAGTATAAATTAAAATTCCATAAATTATGTTTTAAACATTCCATCCATTCTGTAATATTACAGAAGTACTTATTTGGAATATAGTTTTTTTTTTAATTTTCGCTGAAGATCCAGTGATCCACAAAAATATGGAATGTTTAAACTATAATTTATGAAATATTAATTTATATAATTTATAAGTACGTATACCTACGTAGTAGGGTGAAGTGGGGTAAATGCACCCACCCAAGAGCAAAATACAAATTGAATAGTTAATAAAATTATTTAGAACAATGGTAAGAGTCCATTCTTTGGCATATAAACAACTCCCTTAGTGGTGTATCTCATGGCATATCTAAACTCTGCGTTAAACGTAATACGCCACCACAGCTATTTTTTTTGTAAAAATATATACATGTAGGTGCACTTGCCCCATATTTGGGGCAAGTGCACCACCACAGGTTAGTTCCCATATTATACGTACGAACGTATTCACGGGGCAAGTGCAACAAACTCACAGTTTTGTGAATTTTTTGCAATTTACCGCAATTAAATTGACTTATTGGTTATAAAGTTATTACATTTAACTCGAATATTTAGGGAAATTAACTGGCAAAAAAAAATCCATGATTACAAACTGATTTCTGAGTTTTTATTCTCAACTGTTTATGAAATAATCAAACAAAAATACAATACTAATGAAAAACAAACTTCATACAGTAAATCTAATTGATATTATAATGCGAAAAACTGATGTCAAACTTCATCTCGCCTCTTCTTCCTATGGTATCTATGAAAAAAAATGTGCTTAGAAACAAGAACATAGTATGTTACGTATTACGTAACTGCGTAGGCCGAAACTAACTCCGGGGAAAGTGGGCGCACTTTCCCCCATGAAGGTAGGTGCACTTTCCCAATAAGAGAAAATTTTGGGGCAAGAGCACCTACCCCTTCAAAGTTAGCTTATTTTACAATAAAGGTAATTTTGCATATTAGTTTACTTAAAACACATATAAACTTTCAAAATAAATATCTAGTAGCTTTACACATACCTTAGCTCCAGTAATAAATGTGTTTTTCACAGAACTGCGCATTTAACACGCGAGTAAAAACGACAACACTCAATAAAGTCGCCATTCTTTGTTAACCAATTTGATTTCGTTAAAGAAGGGATGTGTATTTTAGTGGAAAAGAGTCATGCTCTCGCATTTACCAGAGGGTGCCACCGCAGGTTGAATAGTTTTTTTTTAAAACCCAATTGGTGCACTTACCCCAAAAGCGCACTTACCCCACTTCACCTTACTTAATTTAAACAATAATTATTGTGTATTAGCTAAATGTTACAAAACTTTTTATTGAATATTCAAAACATCTTTACCGAAAATAATAATGAAATAATAATGAAAATAATATGAAAGTATAATAAAAAAACGAAAAACAGTAAAATAAAAAACAAACAAAAATAGCACAAAAACTTGAATAAACCATATTACTAAATGGGTGAAACACAATAATTTAATATTTATATGTATTCAGTCAAATAACAAGCAAAACCAATTGGTTTTAGAACACTCCAACATAAAGTTTATAGGTATATGCTCCGCGGAGTTCGAAAATAACAAGGAGGTCATGTTTTCGAGAGAACGCCCATTTCTATTACAAATTTCTACTCCTACGAACTCGAGAATAGGCGTCCTGGTATAATATAAAGTCACGTGACTATATACATATCCTTATACCATATCCAAAGTATTCTTTCATTTCGAACGCCCTCCAGAGTTGTCTCTGGCACAGCTACTTCAAGCAGTTGGCAACACTATCAATGAGAATCGGCCTTTAGACTCTTTAATTTAAAAAGTTATTACTAAAGGCAGAGATAATCTCTGCTAAAGGTTAACCTTAATAATTATTAGTAATAATTTATTACATATTTTCTTAATCTTTTGACCTTTTGGTAATGACAACAATTTTACATTTTTTATAAAATTCTTTAGTTTATAGTACATTCGGTTAAGTCAGGGTTGCCAGACGTCCCGATTTAGGCGGGACTGTCCCGATTTTGATCGATGTGTCCCGATTTGTCCCGCCTTCCAATTTGCACGTCGAAAATCACGATTTTTAAATATCTTTCAAAATTCCGAACAAAAAAAGGGAATAATTTAAAAATTTTACAAAATACAAGAAAATTACGATCTACGTCTAAAAAAACTTAAATAAGGCAATTTTATCACTTGTTAGGGGGCGTCCATTAATTACGTGAGGCAATTTTGGCGATTTTTCGACAGCATATGAAAAGTGTAAAACACAAAAAAAACATTGAAAAGTTAGCAAACACAAATGCACTTTAAAAAATGTTTAATCGAACGGGAGATGACGCATAAAAGGTAATTGCTGAGTGTAGCTTTATTTGTGGCAGAACAAAACTTACAAAGATTGTTACAAATGTTTTGGGACCCTATAGCAAAAAAAATATTCTAGAAGATCTTTCTAAACATCATCCAATTTCGCTTCAAATAAAGGCAACATAAAAACCTTTCTGTTGGTGCTTAAATATTTTGATAAAAACTAAATTATTAAAATTCTACTAATCTGATTCTGAACAGTCCCATGATATTGCTCAATGTTTAGTACTATTTAAATAATTACTTTGATGTTGCTTCATAATTTAAAATTTCTGTTGATGAAGACAATTTATTTGAGTAGTTTGTCCAACTACCTACTTTTGTTAAAATTTTGAACAACACTGAAGAGCCCTGCTTAAAATACCCCATAGAGACCCTGTTCAAACCGATAGATATTTGTATCGGGATGTAGGTATGGTGTTTCTATAAGGTGTATCGGTTTGTATAGGACCCATACTTAAGATTTATGGTTGTTCTATAGGGATATCCACCATTGATTTATTTGCTATAGGTTTCAATGGGGAAAATACACATAAATGTAGAAATTAGGTTTTTCCCTATAGGACCCCATAGGTTTTAATAAAATTTTGTCAAATGTTTTATGGTTGCTCTATAGGGATATCCCTATATATCCTTTATTGAGTTATTTTCTATCGGTCTCAATAGGAAAAATGTAAAAGTTATGGCCACCGGTGGCCATAACTTTTACACCGGCCGGTGTGCCTATAGGTAATTTCCTATACATTTTCTATCGGGCTGTATCCGGAAAAAACCATGGACAAATGCACATAGGCTCTATAGAGCCAGTTGGATGCTCTTTTAAAAAATGAATCCTCATTACATCGACCTCCCTGCTTAAAATACCCCATATATGGGGTATTTTAAGCAGGGAGGTCGATGTAATGAGGATTCATTTTTTAAAAGAGCATCCAACTGCAATTAATTTTTTTATACCGAAAGAATTTTTAGTTTTATGAGAACAGTTTGAAAAAAAAATGGGTTAACCTTACCCCATTTTTTTTTAATTAGAAGCTGAACTGGTGATCAAAACTAATAATAAAAAGACATGTAAAGAATTTTTTAATTTTTTAAAAAGCAATGGAAAAGAAATTCTTGAAAAATTTCCATCATGTAAAAAATACATTTAAATAATAATATTTTTTTATAATTTTATAATTAAAAATTATATATCTTTTGAATTTTTCGAAACTAAAACATTTTTTTAACAGAGATTTGCGTGTCCCGCTTTTTCATTTGCAAAATCTGGCAACCCTGGGTTAAGTGCGGCAGCACTACAGTTCCCTATCATAAAATTTAATAGGTTATGTTTTGGAATTATATATGTTTAACAATTTTAAATTAACTGGTGTTTAATTTGGTTAAGATAATAATACAATGATGTTAAGTAAAGTTATTTTAAAAAAATTTGAAAATGTGTCCAATTTAAACAAATATAATTTGTTTTTAATTAAAAAGGTAAACAATACAATTTTACTCCAAAAACAAAATAAAATGCATTCTAAAAGGATTTTTGCATTATATAACAATTTTTTCAAAATATATTTCATTAAATTACGTCTCTTTTAGTCACGTTACTATTCAACCAAAAGAGGGGATACAAAAATATTCAATAATGTTCAGGATGCAATTTATGATATATCTGATGGTTCAAAAATATTAGTTGGAGGTAAGGCTTACCGGGTAAGCATTGAGATAAAATATATCTCAATGAAGGTAAAAATTTTAATAACTAACAATAACATACCTAATTTTAAATAAACCAAAAAAGGGACAGCATTGTAGGTACCTACCACCTGTTTTTTTTCTTATCATTCCAGGGTTGTTTTTAGTTTTCCTTTGCCTAGTAGGCGTTTTTTTAATTTAATTTTGGTATGGTTTTCCATTTTTTTTACAATTTTCTTGTACAGGGTGCCCCCAAGTTGACCCCCTCAATATTTTCCTTTTTCTCAAAATATTGTTGTCAAAAACTTAAATAATTGTTTATAAATTTTTTAAATATCTATGAGATAAAATATTCTTTATCTTAACAATACATAATTATAGCAGAAAACTTACCTCTCCTTGAGAAAAATGTTTTTTTGTCAGAACCAGAACACTGAGAACAGTGATTTTTAAAGTATTTAATTTTAAATAATACGTCTTAGTACTTTATAACTATTGATATATCTCTAATTAATTATAAGTTATTTTGTGGAAAGACTTTAATGTACATTTAAATAGTTAAATACCTACATAGCTAAATATAAGGCTAAATATGTAACTCAAAGTCTTTTCAGTGATGTAACTCAAAGTCTTTTCAGTGAAAAGTTTTCACAAAATAACCTACAAATTAAAATTTTAACTTATAAAAAAATATAAAAAATATTTTCTTTTTGATTAATTTTTCTGAACCTTGGGCCGACATATTGTTAAAAAAAATTAAATTTAAATTGTTAATTTTTGCTTTTTAATCAATTTTTCTGAACCTAAGGTCGACATTTTATCAGCTGTTAAAAAACATTCTAACCAAGGTTAAAAAAAAATCATGATTTAAAAAAAAATCAAAAATCAACAAAAAATTATTTTTTTCGAAAACTCATTAAAAGTTGACATTTGCATAATATTTATCAAGTGTCAAAACAACTGTTTTATGCCTAAAAGTCTTTTACGTCCGTTGCTAGTAGCAACGGATGTAATAGTATATTATGTATCAAGTTTGATAAACGCCATTTTATACACGAATTTAATCTAGGCACGAGCGACCTTGCGAGCGAGTGCTTAAATTAATGAGTGTATAGAAAAGTTTATAAACGAGGTGCATACTATACTTTTTCTACGACAAATACTTCTTATTATCTTAAAATGATTTAAATAAAAAATTTGTATAGAGCGCCATCTATGAAACAATAGGGGAATCTGTGTGTCACCGTCAAATGTCACATTTTTATATTTTATAAACACAGATTATAAATGTTATAAATCGAAATGTATTTCTTGAAAATTGAAGTGAAAGTAAAGAAATTGTTTTATGAGGAGTCCTCATTGAGGACTTTACAGTGGAGTCCGTGCCCGAATTTAAGTTATTAATTTAGTTTACTGCCGGCGAAACTAAAAGGTCAGTTCAATGCTCATATAAACTTTTCAAATATTAGCGTTGAGAAACTATTTAATACTTTTGTATTTTTGTATTGAGATAATAAAATAATTTTCACATTTAGTATTATTTTACAAGAAAGGCACTTTATTTTAACGATTGTATGACATTTGACAACTGTCAACTAACTTAAAACGAACTTCAGCCCGTGAATAAAAACCTGTTGCTAACTTCAGCCCGTGACTAAAGCGCCATAAAGCCACAACTTGTCAACATGTACAATAAAAAGGGCGTTTTAAAGGTGGGAGTAGTAAAATAATTTTATATGTCAATTTTTTCTTTGTATTTTTATTAATTTTAAAGCTGTTGGATACAGTTTTCGAAAAAATGTTGTTTGATACTCGACTGCGAAATTCTTTTGCATTCTCGAATGCAAACAGGGCCGGGCCTAAGGGGGGTGTAGGGGGGGAGTCACCTCCCCCCAAAGTCTTGGCAGTTGGTTCCAAATCCAAACACAGTTGGCAAAATCTATAGTATTTGGGTCGGTTGGTTGGGTATACCTACCCTACCAACCAACCCATCACAATAAATAAAATGAAATATAATTTTTAATACCTACAATGTAGGTCCTACATATTACAAAATTATTATTTTTAATCTATTGTAACCTCCTATAATCGTTACCATCAAGAAAATTGTATTGGTCAACCTTATTTTTATTAAAGGACATTATATTTCACACAAGCGGCATGTACAAAGTCGGAACCGCCTCGCGCATAGGAATTAATTTTTTTTTAATATGGAAAAGAAAGCTAGACCGGGCCGAGTTCTAGTAAAATGCTCATTATGTAGATCTGTGTTTAAGAAGGACTAGAAAAAAAATACATGAGAAAAATATTCACGGTGAAAATTTGGTTAAAATTAAAATTGTTGCTGTTCCGGATAATCCACTTAAGGCCGCTGCACAATAGCCCGGTAACGGGAACGGGAACTGGAACGCGAACGGGAAAAAAGTTAAAAAGGCCAAATTTAATGTATGCATGCACAATAAACGTAAACGGCAACGGGAACGGGAACGCGAACGTGAAAGTTGGCCAAGTTTTAACTTTCCCGTTCCGTCGGCTTCTCGGAGCCAATAGAAAAGCATTAAACTTAACCCTACATTTCATAGATAACCTACATTTTAAAATGACATTTGATGATTTTCTGCATGATTGTAAAAAAACATTCAGAAACTCGATTTTTTGCACAGAAAATATATTTTTTAATGATTATAATATTAATCTACGATGATATTTTTGTGCGATATTACATCATATCAGGTTACGTCTGAAAACAATGATTATATTTAGGTCTACCTGTACGATCGAGTAAAATTCCTAGAATTTGTAGCCAAATGTTTAAAAACAATGGAAAATCTTGACGTTCGAGGTAATACAATAATTATTTGTGAGCGAAAATGAAAAATCTGGGAAGGTAGAGTGAATTCAGGTAAATAAATATAGTTATTTTTTTAGTTACTTTTATGTCAAAATTAAAAAGCAACTAAAAATACAACTAGGTAAATGCTAAAATCCCTGTTTGTTTCCGTTTCGTTATTTTGATTGTGCATCTGACAATCATTCTCGTTCCCGTTCCCGTTCGCGTTGCTGTTCCCGTTCCCGTTACCGGGCAGTTGTGCAGCGGCCTTTACATTGGCTGCAAATCAAAAAAATAAAGAACGAGAATCAATCCCATCGACTTCGGAAGAGCATGCTAATGGTAGGTAAAGACATTCTTTATCCACACTTTACAACACTTTACATACATGATAAAACTACTGAAAATTTTTACTATTACTACTAAAGTATCAATAAAAAAATAAGTTGGTTTTTTTATCGTCTCCACCCCCCCAAAAAAGTGTGCCTCGGTACGGCCCTGAATGCAAAAGTGACATTTCGCAATCTAGTATCAAAAATAAGTATTTGGATTTTTTAAATTTTTATTATGTATGGCACGCCGTTTCACTTTTTAATCGAATAAGAAATATTAAGTTAAATATTAATACTTTAAAAATAAATTGCACTGGAAAATAATACCTTCAAAATAATACATTAATTAGAATTATATTATTCTTTTTTTAAATATGTTTATGTAAGATATTGAATTATTTATTTAATGTAATTTTTCTGTGTGCAATATTTTTGTAACACATTAATATTTAACTTAATATTTCTTATACAATTACAAAGTAAAACGGCGTGCCATACTTAATTTTATGAGTACGCTTAATTTTAATTCTAATAAAAATGATACAATTAATTTTATGCGTACACATAAAATTAATGCACTGAATTTTTATTATGTGATTAAAATTATGTCTATATAATAAAAATTTTAGAATTAATTTTATCGAAGAGATAAAATTATATAATTAATTTTATCACTGTGATAAAATTAATTTGGCGCTTTGGAGTGCGGCCGTAGATCATATAAATAGTTAGTGATGGGCGTTCCGGGTCACTCTTTTGAACCGGATCACTGGATCTGGATCACATAAGTGAACAGGTTCAGCGAACCGGTTCAAAAGAACCGTTTAAATCTCAGATTAATTAAAAATAACACTTAATGAATTCATTGAAACTTTAAAAATATATTTTAATCGACATTGACATAAGTTAAATCATCTCATATTTCTGTGAGTTTGTAAAAATTACCAAAAGTATAAATTTGCCTAACGTAGTAACGCGACACAGAACGCAAGAAGTTTGGTTCCGAACGATCCGACCGGCATAGGCACTAGCGAGCTGCATGATACAACAGTCATGATGGAGCCGCGCCTAGAGAATCGAGATGTTTCGGTCAGATCTGGATCACAGAAAACAAAATGTACTGCGAGCGCGAGTCGTTCTTAGCTCCAGGGAGCAGGTTCAGATCTTACCAACATATCTCTCGCGACCGGCTCCGGCTCACTGCAGTGAATCGGAGCTTAGAACGGCTTGCGCGCGGCCGCTAGTCAAACGCAGTTCTCTGCTTTGTAATTTCGGACCCGCGAGCGGTTAGTTTAATTTTCGTGAACCGGTTCACGTAGATCACTTATAAGACCCGGTTCACTGAGCCGGTTCAGATCTGACCGACACATCTCTACTTATAGTAGGCATGTTTAATTTATCAAAGTTTGTCTACACCTTTTCCAATTGTATTTCAGAAGAGGTCAATTTTATTTCAGAACTTATTAACTTAATTTAAGAATAGTAAATTTTATTTCAGAAAGTATCAATTGTATTTCAAATTAGTCAATTATCTTTGGAAAAGTATCAATTGTTTTTGAGATTAGTTAATTTTATTTTAGAAAGTGTAAATTGAATTTCGGATTAGTAAATTATATTTAAGAAAATGTCAATTGTAGTTTTAAATAACTATTTGAAATTCGGAAAACGTAAATTGTATTTTAGAAACCATCAATTTTATTTAAGAAAATATGAATTGTATTTAGGAAAGTGTCAATTATAGTTCAGAATAACTTTTTTAAATTCAGGGTGAATTGAATCTCAGAAATAAGCCAAAATATAAAGCATGTACCACTCATCAGTCCCACTTTGACATTTGATGCG